CCTTTATCTCTAAAACAAAGTCAGTAAAAACATATCATCGGGTGAGGATTAAAAAAAAGGGGTACTCTTTAAGGTTAAAATCAAGTTAAAATAGGGTAAATCGTGTGCGACTGTAAGCTCAGACTAAAATTATAATTTTTTCTTGTCAGCATATGAATAGAAAAAAACCTAGTCTATGACATGTGTACAATTAGGATCTTACTCAAAACCACATATACCGTAGTATTTTTAAAGCCTGCAACCAAAATGTGGAATCATTGTGTCTTACAGCCCTCGAAACTGCATCTGATAGCACTGTGCCTGTGCTGCCCTGGTACAGCTTTTGGATTGCCTTGGTGGTACAAGCATGATTCTTGTATTTAAGTAGCAGTCATTGCTTGACTGCACAGATGGTATCAGTTTTGAATCTACTCAGTAAAAGAAAACTAGGACAACAGTGATTTTGCCAGTTCGTTTTTACTGACAGTTTATTTACTTTGGATGACTGTAGTTCTGGAAAAGGTGGCAGACTGAAACTAAAATTGCAGCCCAGGGCAGAGTGGGTGGGTGCTCGCCCTGTTGCCTACCACAGGTCTGCTGCTTGTCCCCAGGAGGCCCAGTATGAGTCCTTCTGGGTATAAGACTTCATTCCCTTGACCTAACTAGTGTCATGATTAACCTCCCTCCCCTCCTCTTTTTGTCAATTTAATGTCCGCAGGTCAGTTAACCCCCCTACTGCTCTCACGTTCCTCCTGTCATTGGCCCATTCCTTCTCCATTTTCTCGTCCTCCCTGAGTTCTCGCATTCGTTGCCGTGGGTTTAATTACCTCTGTGTGTTGATGGTTCTGCTCGATCTGTCTCCTCGCCCTCATACTCACATAGCTCATTGCTCATTGCACATTTTCACTTGGATGCTCCATATGCTGTAAATGGTAAAACTGGAAGGACTTTAAGAAGGAGATGAGTTTTGAGTATACAGAGAGGCTTCTGTTGGTGACAAACAGGGCTATACTGTTATCTTTTATTCAACATGTCCTAAACGGAATTCATCCTTCTATGTATTCCCTTACCCCTTTGTTTCCTCTTT